AAGAAAAAGAAATAAAAGGCATCCAAATTGGAAAAGAGGAAGTAAAACTGTCTTATTTGCAGACAACATGATATTATACATACAGAACCCTACAGACTCCATCAAAAAACTACTAGACTTAATACAAGAATTTGGCAATGTAGCAGGATACAAAATTAACCCCAAGAAATCTGAGGCATTTCTATATTCCAATAGTGAACTTTCAGAAAGAGAGACTAAAAAAACAATCCCATTTACCATCGCACCAAAAAAATTAAGCTACCTAGGAATAAACTTAACTAAAGAGGTAAGAGACCTCTACTCAGAAAACTAAAGGATGTTGAAAAAAGAGATAGAGGAAGACATAAACAGATGGAAGAACATACCATGTTCATTGATTGGTAGATTCAACAGCATTGAAATGTCCATACTACCCAAAGCAATCTATAAATTCAATGCACTTCCCATTAAAATACCAATGGCATACTCACAGATCTAGAACGAACACTCCAAAAATTCACCTGAAATAAAAAAAGACCCCAAATAGCTGCAGCAATCCTGAGAAAGAACAAAGTAGGTGGGATCTCAATACCAGATATCAAGCTGTATTACAAAGCCACTGTTCTCAAAACTGCCTGGTACTGGCACAAGAACAGGCATATAGATCAATGGAATAGAATAGAGAGCCCAGAAATCGGCCTGAATCCATATGCTCAATTAATATTTGACAAAGGAGGCAAGAACATACAATGGAGTCAAGATAGTCTATTCAATAAATGGTGTTGGGAAAATTGGACAGATATATGCAAGAAAATGAAACTAGACCACCAACTTACACCATACACAAAAATAAACTCAAAATGGATAAAGGACTTAAATGTACGACGGGAAACCATAAAAATTCTAGAAGAATCCAAAGGCAACAAAATCTCAGACGTATGCCGAAGCAATTTCTTCACTGATACAGCTCGTAGGGCACTTGAAACTAAAGAGAAAATGAACAAATGGGACTACAGCAAAATAAAAAGCTTCTGCACAGCAAAGGAAACCATCAACAAAACAACAAGAAAACCCACTGTGTGGGAAAACATATTTGCCAGTGTCATATCTGATAAGGGCCTAATCTCCAAAATTGATAGGGAACTCATACAACTTAACAAAAGGAAGATAAACAATCCAATCAAAAAATGGGCAAAGGATCTAAATAGAGACACCTTTCAAAAGAGGACATTCAGAAAGCCAAGAGACATATGAAAACATCCTCAAAGGCACTAATCATCCGAGAGATGGAAATCAAAACAACAATGAGGTACCATCTCACACCTGTCAGACTGGCTATCATCAACAAATCAACAAACGACAAGTGCTGGAGAGGATGTGGAGAAAAAGGAACACTTGTGCACTTCTGGTGGGAATGCAGACTGGTGCAGCCACTATGGAAGACAGTATGGAGTTTCCTCAAAAATCTAAAAATGGAACTCCCATTGGACCCTGTGATCCCACTTCTAGGAATATATCCCAAGAAACCAGAACCACCAATCAGAAAGGCTATATGCACCCATATGTTCATAGCAGCACAATTCACCATAGCTAAGATCTGGAAACAGCCTAAGTGCCCATCAGTAGATGAATGGATTAGAAAACTGTGGTACATCTACAGGATGGAATACTATGCTGCTGTAAAAAAGAAAGAACTCTTACCATTTGCTACGGCATGGATGGAACTGGAGAGCATTATGCTAAGTGAAATAAGCCAGTCAATGAGGAAAGATACCACATGATCTCACTCATTCATGGATAATAAAGACCATTATAAACTTATGAACAATAATAGATACAGAGTCAGAGCTGCCTCAAACAGATTGTCAAACTTCAGCGGGAAGGCAGGGGGGGGGGTTGCGGGGCAGGAGGGAGGGGGGTAAGAGATCAACCGAAGGAATTGTATGCATGCATATAAGCATAACCAATGGACCTAAGACACTGGGGGGTAGGGGAGGCCAAGGGATTGTCAAGGGTGGGGGGGAAAAAAGGACACATATATAATACCCTTTGTAATACTTTAAGCAATAAAACAATAAAAATAAAAAAACAGCAGTATGCCATATATGCCAGGTCCGTTAAAACATCCCTGCAGCAAGAGCGTCAAGCAGCCAGGTTGGACCCGCTTCCAGCAAATATACGTAATGAAACTGCCATTAATCCACCAGGATACTGGGTTGAACAGGGTCCTCCCAAAAGTCATGCCCATCTGTAACCTCAGAATGGGGCTTGACTTGGAAATAGGGTCTTTGTAGATGTAATCAAGCTGAGATGAGGTCACACTGGAATAGGGTGGGCCTATTCCAATGACTGGAGTCCCTATAAGAGGTGAATTCAGACACACACACACACACACACACACACACACACACACAGGCACACCATATGAGGATAGAGCAGCCGTGGGCAAACTACGGCCCGCCGGCCGGATCCGGCCTGTTTGAAATGAATAAAACTAAAAAGAAAAAAGACCATACCCTTTTATGTAATGATGTTTACTTTGAATTTATATTCACACAAACACTCCATTCATGCTTTTGTTCCTGCCCTCTGGTCCAGTTTAAGAACCCACTGTGGCCCTCGAGTCAAAAAGTTTGCCCACCCCTGGGATAGAGACACACAGGAGGACACTGTGATGACAGAGGCAGACTGGAGAGATGGCCAAGGACTGCCAGCAGCCAGCAGAAGGGAAGTGAAAGGCATGGAACAAATTCTCCCTCAAAGTTTTCAGAAGGACCCCAAACCTGCTGACACCTTGATTTCAAACTCATAGGCTATGGAAACGTGAGAGGATAAATTTATATTATTGAAGCCACCCAGTTGGTGGTACCTTATCACAGCTAGGAAACTAATACACAGGGTCCGGGTAGGAAAAACGTCAGTGTGAGGACAGGCATGCTGATCCTCCCGATTCAGAGGCTGCTCCTGATGTCCTACCAGTTGGAGGTGCCTTTTGTGGGCCAGAAAGTACCTCTTTCCGATGCAATGGTCAGTGAAGGAGGTGAAAAGGAAATGGGTAGAACGACTCAGTGCAGCCCCAGATGGTGTGTTGTTCAAGACCTCTGTGTTTTATTGGCCATCTCTGCGGTGGCAGCACACGGGAGCCACTGCAGAGCTCCTGTGGGACTGAGAGAGTCGAGGACCTAGCAACAGCTCCTGGTGCTGATGGGCACAGAGTGACTGCAAAACATGTGGCTGATGTGCTGGGGCTACGTCGGCCCGCACTGTTCCCAAGGAAGAGGAGTCAGCTGACCCTTGACAGACTCTCACAACTACTTGGCCAATAAATGGGTCAGATCCTCAATGCTGGGCCATCTGTGTGGTGTGGGTGAGCCGGGCAATGGCTGGGGTCAGGCTGAGGTGAGATGAGAAGTCAGGGAGGAACGAGCAGGAACACCACAGGGCAGGAAGGGAGGTGCTGCTGCGGATGCTGAGCAGACCACTTAGGCAGGTTCAGAACCAGCAGAAACAAAGAGAAAATAGAGCCTGAGAACCAATCCTGGCAAGGAACAGCACCAGGGAGCCTCCCAAGAGGAGACTTTCAGAGCAGCAGGTGAGCGGGTGGGACAAGGGGCCCCTTCCTCTGGGGCACAGGCCATGGCTGAGGAAACAGGGAGGGGTTTGGTGACACATCTCAGGACAGAAGAAGGGACAGAGACACTTCAGCATTGCATCTCCCTGGAAAGACGCTAAGAGGAGGCCAAACTCAGCTGTGTGAAAGGCCTGACTGTCTTGTAGACTTCCCTCCACCTGCGACCCAAAGTCCTACCCCACCCCCAACCCCATCTAGAGCAGCACCCAATGGCTCCGAATGACTGACAACGCATGTCAGAGACCAAGGAGAGAAAGGTGGGTTATGCAAAATTTCAGTTGCTTAAAGGACCAAGGGGCTGCCTAGCGGTGGGGAGTGGGGCTGGGGATCAGGGCCAAGGGAGAGAAAGAAAGAGATTCCAAAACAACCGCACTAACCAGGGCACTGGTGGCCAAGAGCACAGCCTGGTGGTTGCAACCTTGGAGGTGGACAGACATATGAGGAGAGGAGAGTTCACTCCTGGAGCCTCACAACCAGGGGCCATTGTCAGGGGTGGAAGCTACAAATCCATAGCAAAGCCTCGCTTAGAAACTTCTGCTGGAGTCTGTATGTACCTGATCAGCTCTCTGTGAGGCGCTGCCTTACCTCCCGATTCAGGGCAGCTCCACCTGCCTCACGGGGCCCTGTCTAGGTGAGCAGGGAGCTACAGACAGTGTAAAGACAAGGAAGCTTTTCTTGGAGACTCCTTATGTGTCTTCCCTAGAGCCCCCTTGGGGTAGGCTGGTGCCGGAGGCTGGTCCACCCTTGCTGCTTGACACAGTCACTGCAGGGAAGAAACATCTGCACAGCATATGTTTCAAGGGACCTAGCGTATATGGCATATGTTTGCTCCCCCTTGGCGCTATGTGTTTTAAATAGGGCCACCTCCCTGAGAAAGGTTGTTTCCCCAGGTGAGGATTTTTCCCTGGAGTTAGGGATTAACAGGACTAAGGAAGGGAATAAAACCCCTTAACTAAGTGCTAGGCGGGTAATTAATCACTTTAACTACGAACAATCAGGCTTAAACTACATAATCTTTATTTAGGATAATCTCCTTCACTTACTTCCTTGTAGCTTAACAGAACAATAGAGTAACCTTGGAATGGAGATAAGAAACGCCCTAACCTTTGGGATAGAATGAATAGGATTAAAATCAACTGGTATAAATATGGATGTAACAAGAGAATAAAGAACAGAACCTGGCTGGAGAACCTGACTAGAGAACCTGGCTGGGCTGCTGATCAACTGAACACTGTCTCTGTGTCATTTCTTCTTCGCCGACTCCATCCACTGGGAACCCCTGGACCTGCTGGGGTTGGACCCCAACAACACAGCTCAGCGGCTCAGCCTCGAGGGGGAGGGTCCTTACGACGCCAGCAGGGCCCTGTGACCCCAGCTTGCTTCAGCCACCATGCCGCGATCTTTCCTAGTCAGGAAGTCTGCCTGCTCCCGCCGGAGGCCCAACTACAGCAAGCTGCATGACTCTTCTCCAGAGTTCACCTTCCAGCAGCCCTACGACCAGGCCCACCTGCTGGCGGCCATCCCACCTCCTGAGGTCCTCAACCCCACAGCCTCACTGCCCACGCTCATCTGGGACTCTTTCCTGGCACCACAAGCCCAACCAGTTGGCTGGGCCTCCTGTCTACCCTGGGAGATCCCCAACGTTGTTGAGCTGACCTCGCTGTCAGAGGAGGACAGTGGGAAAGGCTCCCAGCCTCCCAGCCTACCCTTGCCAGCCCTGTTATCCTCCTCTACCTCAGCCTCTTCCCTGGAGGCCGATGGTTATGCTGCCTTCCCGGGCTTGGGCCCATTGCCCAAGCAGCTGTCTGGGCTCTCAGGGGCCAAGGACCCCCAGTCTCGCAAGACCTTCAACTGCAAATACTGCAACAAGGAATATGTCGGCCTGGGTGCCCTCAAGATGCACATCCGAAGCCACACCCTGCCCTACATCTGTGGCACCTGTGGGAAGGCCTTCTCCAGGGCCTGGCTGCTACAGGGCCATGTCCGGACCCACACGGGGGAGAAGCCCTACCCCTGCTCCCACTGCAACTACACTTTTGCCGACTGCTCCAACCTGCGGGCCCACCTCCAGACCCACTCAGATGTCAAGAAGTACCAGTGCAAGACGTGCTCTCGCAGCTTCTCTTGCAAGCCCCTGCTCCATAAACACCAAGAGTCCGGCTGCTCAGGGGACCCCCGCTGACCCCCATGGCTGCTTCCTTGTAGCTTAACAGAACAATAGAGTAGTGACCTTGGAATGGAGATAACAAATGCCCTAACCTTTGGAATAGAATGGTTAGGATTAAAATCAACTGGTATAAATACAGATGTAACAGGAGAATAAAGACAGAATCTGACTAGAGAACCTGGCTAGGCTGCTGATCAACTGAAAAAAAACAAAACAATAAAAAATATACCTTCACAGAGTGATTACTGTGTTCTGGGCACTGTTCCCCTAAGTTTAATCTACACAGCCACTCCCTGAAGTTTTATTATCGTTATGCCCTTTCACAGACAAAGAAGCTGAGGTTCCGTGAAGTTAAGTGATTTGACAGTGGTTCTCAACCTGTGGGTCGTGACCCCTTTTGGGTTCGAACGACCCTTTCACACGGGTCACCTAAGACCATCGGAAAACACATATATAATTGCATATTGTTTTTGTAATTAATCACTATGCTTTAATTATGTTCAATTTATAACAATGAAAATACATCCTGCATATCAGATATTTACATGACGATTCATAACTAACAAAATTATAGTTATGGAGTAGCAATGATAATAATTTTATGGTTGGGGGTCACCACAACATGAGGAACTGTATTAAAGGGTCGCGGCACTAGGAAGGTTGAGAACCACTGGCTTAAAAGCACACAGCTGGGACTCAAACACAGGCTGACCTCCTACAGAGACTGATCTCTTCATCATCTCATTATGTAAATGGCCTCCCCGATGATATTCAGTGAAAAATAAAGATTAGGTGGATTATTGGGGACCATCATTTCTAGAGATATGAAATGATTCTCTTATTAGCTAGTTTGGGACTAGACCTAAATATTTAATAGTCACCATTATACTGTGCATTCTTTGTACTCAAATGACTATTTCTAAATTGTCTAATAATCCAGAGCCTACACACTCTACACAAATGCCTCTCTCTCTCTCTCTCTCTCTCTCTCTCTCTCTCTCTCTCTCTCTCTCTCTCTTTTAAAACACCTTAGATGGACTGTTTCTAGTGAAGAACATCTTAGCATATGCACTGATATTCATTATGAAATGCTTACATACAAAGAACCTCAAATAGAACAGCCAGGGGAGAATGCTGAATAGAATTACATAAAGAGCCCTGAGTTATTATTTCTGTCTATTGGAAAGCTGGTTTTAATTGAGACTCCAATAAGAAAGCCACTCTTCCTATCAAAAATTACTTCAATATTATGATAAAATGAAGAACACAGTCCTTAGAAAAAGAATATTGTCCTGGGGGGGGGGGTGTCATTGGTTCAAAATTCAGGAGAGAGAGAGAGAGAGAGAGAGAGAGAGAGAGAGAGAGAGAGAGAGAGAGAGAGAGAGAGAGAGAGGGAGGAGGGGAATCAAGTGAGCTCTAAACTTAAGAAAAAACAAACAAGCAAAACCTTTTTTCTCTGGGGTAATTAGATATGTGCAGCACAGCCAACACATTGCAAAACAATATATGCAAGGGAGTCACAGAAGAGAACACACAAAAGGCCTATAAGAATATAAGAGTTGTTTAGACTCAGTGGTAATCAAGGGAAAGACTGATTAAAACACAGATCACAGTTAGATCAACAATACCAATTAGATTGTTTAGCCTTCTCTTCTTTTGCCCAATTAGCTCTCTTCCCTCAAGGAATAATTATCCTATTTATTCATTTGTCTTCTGTTAGCGCTGTTTCTCTCCTTCAAAAGTCTGGTAGTCTTTGAGAATCAATCATGCTTATGAATGAAGCCCTTGCTTGCTGTACATGGGTAGTGCGGGCCGGTGTTGTTCCTGTTATGTAAGCCTGCTTCCTATTTCCCCAGTAGCCCTCCTGAATTGGAAGGCTGATGGTGAACTCTGTGTATGTGGAGTGAGGGCAGCTTAACTGTAAAGAACATGGCCAGTCTGTGAATTGGGATCCGTAGGAAAAGACTTTGAGAAGGGAAGTCCCGTGCAGACGACTTACTGGAGAATGCTCTGGAGAAATACAGCGGGAAGAAAGTGAGCATGGCTGCACTGAGCAGAGATGGAAGCTGATTCACAGCACAGTGGCCATGGGGCATCGGCCCATCCTACAGGGAGCTCAAGAGCTGGGTGACCCCTTTCCAAATCAAGGCAAAGAGAGAGGGCCTTGTGGATCTGAAACAGTGGGTCCGTAACCACCGACTGCCTTTAGGAAGGGGGTGTTACCTTGGGTAAGGTAGTTCCCTTGGGAAATCCACCATGCACCTCTGATACAGGTGGCTAAAAGACCACAATTTGAGAAACTTGCTTTTGTGACTATTTTTCCTGTTTAACTTGGGCAAAATTGACTCAGCTGCATGCATCAGGTAGGGAGGGCAGAGATGTTGGCAGTATTTCTGTTGTTAATCCTCTGATTACTTATCCTGAGTCTATTCCCATTTTTCACGCCAACCCTGAGTGACTTCTTACCTAGAGTTTAGAGATTCTCCATAGCCCAGTGGAGTGAAAAGAGATCTTTGCGTGGGATCTAGACTTTCTCTGTGTTTGCTCCATGTTGCTCCCTCAGAATTATATTGTCATTATGATCCCATCTGCTCTGTATCTTCCAGAAATTTTTCATAAGCTCTGGGTTGCTAATGGCCTTTGTTTCTTTCTCATATTGTGCTGAAAGTATTTCTTGATAAATATTTCATTGTCAGTTCAATTGAATTTGTTGGGAAATAGAGTGAAAATAGAGTCAATTCACTATCTTCAACTGCAAGACACATGATATTTAAATAGCATTAGCAGTAGTATCTTAAATGAGTGCTCTCTTATTATTTGAATGAGAAATTTCTCCCAAGGCATTAATGCTTGTATAGTCTTAATAGCAACATTTGCATATTATATAGTTAAGAATGAATTTTCTAACATTTTTATATTTATCACGCAATTTTATCATTAGAGCAACCCTTTCTCAAGGATGAGTATTTTGGGCCCATTTTATTAAGGTGCATTAAATGACTGACTGTCACACACAGTCAGGTAATATTCAAAGTTTCTGATTTTAATATCCCTGAGGCTTACTTTTTTGTTTTTGCTTGTTGGTGGTTGTTTTTAAAAGTATATTAATTATTGAAATACTTATTGCAATTAAAGTCCATATTACTGCAAAATTTTGAGGCTGAAGAAAATTAAATCTGTTGGGTGTTTTGATGTTAATAACTTAGTTTGTTGTATTATAGTGATTAGCATATGCTAAAACTTAGAGTAAGTGATTTCTGTAAAATAACATATAGTCTTCATAAGAACATCATGAAATATGAATTATTACTATTGAAATTTTACTAATGGAAAAAGTGAGGTGCAGCATAATTTAGGTCACAGTTAGAAATTATAAGAGGTCAGACCCCAATCTAGGAAGTTTCATCCAAAATCTGCTTTAACTATCATATTACACTGCCTCTTATATTGAAGAATCCTCTGTATATAATCTAAAGAATCACTGTTTAGGTGATCAGTTTAATAGTATTAATGCTTTTAGAGGAAGTTTAAGCAGTCTGCTTCACAAATTACAATTCCAAAATCTGATCGCTGTCTTTTGTGGTATTAACTGATTCTGATTTTTGCAGCCACTGTTACTTTTAGTCATCTTGTCACTTGGGATTTAAGTATTAGGTTTGAATATTAATCTCCATTACCAGTCAAGAGCCATCCTATTAGAATTGCAAATTGACTCAGCAATAAAAGCAAAATATAAAAGTCTACTTACGAAATTATTACTTTGATATTTCATGGTCTTAAAAGTGGTGTTGTGTGCATTTAATATGATTGTTTATTTTACTCTTTGATACTGATTTCACCTCCCCTTATTAATCAGGTTTTACTTATGAATGCAACGTTTTCAGTGGAGTAGTTAACAAGTGACATTATGAAGACCAACTTGAAGAAATCATTTAAATTTTAGTAGACTGACTCTAAAATATTGGTTAAGGACACACCTGGTGTTGGATAGATTTATAGAACTGGCACAATAAAATATTCATGGAGCCTCTAGTTAATGAATAAAATAAGTTACAGTGCACCAACCACATTGACTCTTGAAATAACATTACAGGATATAAAAAAGCCATATTATAGGAGAAAAGCTAACTATTTGTGTAATTATCTATATCTAGAATTATCTAAAGAAATCAATCTGTATAAATCACTAATATTATAAAATAAACAATAGCTGGAGATAAGCAAATGTTGAAGAAAAATATGTTAGGGATGAAATGTTCCCTTACATTCCTTTGGTACCTCAAACATGTGCTGGAGGTCTAGGGCTGGCCCATTTCAGGAAGGATATTATTCAGTAAAATAGAGATATTTAAAAAAAAAAAAGGCAGGGGAAGACTCTTACCTATTAGGAGAGCTTTTTTCATCATCTTAAAACATCACAAGATTTCCTGTGGTCAGCAGAGTGCTGTATCCTGACACAGTGAGTTTCTTGAACACTTTCATGCATGGAATAGCAGCTCCTAGCATTGCTGGCAGGTGCCCAGCATGTGATAGGAACTCAAAATGCAGCTGTGAAATAATTGAATGTATATTACTGGATTTTTAAAGTAAATTAGTATGTTATAACGTAATAAGAATATATGTTTGCTCTGGCCAGGTAGTTTAGTTGGTTAGAGCATTGTCTCAATATGCCAAGGTTCCAGATTCCATTCCTGGTCAGGGCACATACAAGAATCAACCAATGAATGCATAAATAAGTGAAATAACAAGTCTCTCTCTCTCTCTCTCTCTCTCTCTCTCTCTCTCTCTCTCTCTCTCTCTCTCCCCCCTTCCTATCTCTCTCTCTGAACTCCATAAATATTTTTAAAAGAATATATGTTTTACAACTTATTGACTGGAAAAAACATTACTTTAAAATATGGGTTATTACTCCTTCTGTTTTCCTTTTCTAATGTTTATTGCCTCATGGGATATATAGCTTCAATTAGCATCTGAATGTATTTCCACCAGCCTATTTACCAATAAGGTCTAGTAAG